CGAACGTCAGACCAGGAACCATGACCCCTTTCCATATTCCTCTCACAACATCATACCTATTGTAATTCCACAGTGCCCTATTTTTCATCACTGCTGCATTCCTGTTACCTTTAGTCGTCACGTATCCATACGCCCAGATATCCATACGCCCAGATATCCATACGCCCAGATATTTGTATTTATCTGTTATCTCTAGCGTGACCTCCTGTATCCTAAGCTCACTACCTTCGTCGTCATTGAAAATCATGACTGCTGATTTTTCCTTACTGAATCTAAAATCTAACCTATCTCCCTCATTACCGCAGATGTCCATCAATCTCTGCAAATCTTCCTTGTTGTTGGCCATCAGCACTATATCATCTGCGTACATTAATGCTGGTAGTGCCTGATCAATAAGTTTTCCTTGTTTGACTAAAGAGAGGTTGAAGCCCAGCCCACTTCTCTCTAATTTTGCCTCTAATCCTTGTAGGTACATCATGAATAATAAGGGTGACAGGGGGCACCCCTGCCTAAGCCCCCGTTTTACCTCTGCAGGCTTGGATACCTGTTTTTCCCACTTTATAACTACCTTGTTACCTTTATAGATACCCTTTAAAAGATTAGTGACTACATGTTCCACGCCTAGTGTGTCCAGTATTCCCCACAATTCACCTTGAACCACGCTATCGTACGCTCCCTTGATATCCAAGAATGCTAGCCACAGGGGCCTGTGTTCTTTTTCTGCTATTTCGATGCACTGCGTCAGTGAGAACAGATTGTCTTCCAACCTCCTGTGTTTCTGAAACCCATTCTGCAGTTCCCCCAGCACCCCCTCCTCTTCTATCCACGCCTGCAGTCTTTCCTTTATAATCTGCATCGCCAGCCTGTAGACCACTGATGTCACTGTTATAGGACGGTAGTTGTTTATGTCAGCTTTGTCCCCCTTTCCTTTATAGATCATGCTCATCCTGCTAAGTTTCCATCCATCGGGAACTTCACCATCGATTATTATTTTGCTCACTGCCTCTCTCAAAGCCTGCTTAGACTTCGGACCTAATGTCTTTATCAGCCTAATTGGAATGCCATCTGGGCCTGTTGATGTACTACTAGGAACCCTTTTCTCAGCCCTTTCCCACTCTCGTTGTGAAAATGGAGCTATTGCACCACTTGATTCGTCCTTGTATATTGTGGTGCATAAAGTACTTTTTTGTTGAAATTTTTCTGTCACCCTTGTTCTTATATATTCAATAGCTTCGTCCCCTTCTAGCCTGGCACCTTGGGCTGTAGTTATAAAACTCTGCTCTAGGCTCGTCTCATTTCTTAGGGAATTTAGATGGTTCCAAAATTTCGCAGCTGCCTTTCTATCTTTTTTATGTACTTCTGCCAGCCACTGAGCTCCCTTTCGTCTAATCACTACGAAAAACTGCATCGCTGCGCCGCCTACCATGACATCCACCATGGTGTAGAGGTTACCGTCCACAGCTTCCGAGATTCGATCCAGAAGCGGTGCGTTCTCTAAACGCACCGTTGCTAATCACGGAAGCCGCGTACGGTAGCCTCGACATTACGCCGCGGTACAGTAGGCGGCGCAACAGTGCAGTTTTCCGTTTTTTTTTTCTTTTTCTTAGAGTGTTTGACAGCTACTATCTGCTATAGTCAAAGCAGAACCGTAGGGCAACGTCTTTCTAATATCAGGCGTCAAAGTAAACAGTAAACGTGCGTTCACGTAACGAGCATCATTTCTTTATTACGGACCACGAGTTAAAGACGGAATCACGCTCGAAGCGTCCACAGAGAGTCCACGCCCGTTCATGACGTCAGACGCCCGACTGCTCGACGTCAGACTCCATCCGCACACGGACACACGTGGTGCATACTTCTATACGCTGATGCATATTCGCAGAAACGTTAGCTTTCGTGTGGTCGCGGCCCAATGTGTCCGGACGGAAACGCCACTACAATATGTCGCACCGGACACCACACACATTTACAAAACCGTGAAGCTGGAACGTAAAAGAAAATTTGAAGCTCTGACTTAGGCTTAACAGAGCCCGACAAGCAAGAGCTATGGGTATGAACTCGAAAGTTCAACCATAGGGGTGCGCGCATGGATGGGGGGAGGGGCTAATACGTTGTATTGCCACAGCGGCGTTTTGCATCGTAAGGGGCTCTGGGAGGGACTGGAGAATGGGGAAAGACGCTGCCGGGAAACTTCAGCTCGAGTTACCGTATATGTGCTTTACGGGAAAAGCAGTAGTATGTAGAGTAACTATAACTTCACTTATCTGCTTCGCGACCCCCTCCCTCGGCGTCCCACTGCCAGCGCATGTCTATGAGTTCAACTGAACGGAAGTACCCCGTTATACAAATGAAAAAAAAAATACTGTGTCAAAATAGACTGTGTGACCATAGACTAAGCGACTACCACTGAGTCGCAGTGTGACTATAGACTAAGGAAAGATTTCGGTGCCGTCATATTGGCCTAACTTCACCATTTCGTATCCATGACAACTAAACGATCACAGCTACGGCAGACGCAGACACTTGAAAACGGTTGGGCTGCTGCATTCGACATTTTAGGAAATAATTAATTTCACATCACGACACACGAAAAGAAATGTGAACACTGTTTAACACCTCAAAATGGCGGCGCCCATGTCTCGCGAACAAAACTGTAGGTACTTCAAGCAATTATCCTACGAAGCAGGGACTTTCTAAATCACCGCGTTACCAATGCCGCACAGAAGCAAATTCTGCTGCATGGTCTTCGCCGACGTGTCCCACACCTGAAATCGGGCGTGTACTCGATGTAGCGTTCAAAGGTACGTCTTACTCACAACTGTTCGAGGACAGACGCCACAATTATAGAGTGCGATCCACATTGAACGCGACTGCGACGTCCCTGTCTAACTTCAGGTGAAGGACACCTCGTCATTGGTGGGAGTGTTACGCTTCTCTATACTACGATCCTCAAGTTCCCATTCCTTCATCATCAGGACTTGGGATGTCATCCCGCCCAGGCTACTATTCTGTTCCATTCCGTATATGCTCTCTTCTGTTCCAACTGACTCGCTGTGGCGAGGATAAGATAGGTCACCCTGGCCGCACTCCGTTTCTTTCGGCGCCTTCGAGGTGCATGTCCAATGCTACTGAAATACGTAAGGTCAACAGATCTGCGAGACCACCGAGAGACTTGATGTTCTCTCTCAAGTGTGCGCGGGATTCTGTCCATCCTCCTCTTTTATTCCATTTTTCTCCGATTTGCTCTTTCATCCTGCGCAGGGTAATAAACCGGACGTGCGTCTGGTTAACCTTCCTGCCTCTCTTGCTTCTTTCTTTCTCTCTGTCTCCTTCTCTCTCTGCAGCACAATAAAATGTTACCCCTCATAAAAAATTGAACGAGTATCCTAAACCAAACATCGTAAACTTGAAGAAAACAGCACATCGATGTATAGTTTACTTGCTGTTCACGTCGCAACAGAAAGTTCACAAGCACATAATTCTGTTCAAGTTCTATACGCACAGTACACGGACTAACATATCACTTCTTCCACACATACCAACAGCTTTTATCACAAGCGCTTATCTAGTCCAGCGTCCACATGCCCCTCGTCACACACGCAATGAATGCAGTGAATAGTGGTATAAGAATGTCAACATCAATAAATCAACGTTTATCCATCATTATAGAAGTCAAGAAATTTTCGCGTTTGTTAAATATTAGCTCTTCGTAAAAATGTACAATTCCCATCGGGTGATATGCTAGATTTATTCAAAATGAACTCGCCGATAGCAGTCGCATTCCCCTTCGAGTAGAGAGGTTCATCAAAAGCTGCTAGACTCAGCGAGAAATACCTCGGGCCATAAGAATCGGCAGCTGTTTCTTGCATTATGTTGTACTATGGTTTAATATCTCTTCAGGACTACCGTTTTTGTTTTGTTTTCTTTTGCTTATGTACATTCGTTCAGCCGCACAATATAGGAACTATATATTGCCGATGTAATTCCTAGGGCTGCTGATACATAATACGCACAAGCTTTACCATCAGTTAGTTAGTATAACTGCAATGCGTCTTAGTGTTAAAGGATGTTAGAATATGGCTGCTCTGACTAGGCTGATAAATATTTTCCATTTGACACTGAAACGTTGAGTCTATAGCATTGTTCAAGTAAAATTTAACATTATCGACAAGTTGCTTGCTCTGATATACGATCAACTTTATAGCCAGAGCTTCGAGAGTACGAGTTGAAAGAGCGATAACGAAGGAGAATTCATCACAACACCCCTAATTTGTGTCACGTTTGGATAGAGTACACGAGTATGACCATTGCCTGAAAGACTATAGGATGCTTGCACAATGAAGATGTAAAACACAATGATCATACGTTGGCAGTCTCTCTTGTGCAAATGCTAAAGTTGTGCAGCTTGGTAACGATTGTTCCTAAGCAGCGCAGTTGCGCGCTTCAAGTAATGAGAATACGGAGCCCGCCCCCTTTCCGTTGCATGTATCTGTCGTAATATGGTATATCCAACGATTCTTTCCGCTTGAACATGTACAGACTGATCCATTGTTAAAGGGAATGGGTCCACATTTTTTTTTCTGTTGCAAAAGCACAGTGGCGTAGTTTTGCATAAGTCTACTGGTGGCTGACAGTTCCGACTCCTTTTGACAGACTATGATGCCGCGTACAAACTATGCTTCCATGTCCACTCGCAGTTGAAGGGCCAGCTATATGAGAGTTGGTCGTTCGAGCAGTTCTATTTAACAGTGTACCGTATACTGTAAACTCGACCCCCAAGAAAAGCTTTGAGGTATTGTTTTGTGTTTGTCCCAGTTTGGTCATAGAAATAAGTATCATCACGTCACCCATTTGCGGGATTCATGATCACTACGGTGGTACGGGATGCATTGACAGTACTGACAGTACTACTCATGCTGACAAACTTTTTCGGCCTTCTGTTATCCCGTGTCATGACAGAACTTAGTATATTAATTTATTAACACTTTTTCAGAGGAAATTTTGATACTTAAAGAGTTGCGAGTTTTTAATAGCAGTGCAGAGGTGCCATCTTCTAGGTAGAAACAGCATGACAATCCTGGTTGGGTGACGGCAGCCTTCAAATTATTAACTGATTCAGTAACAATAAGAAAAAAAACACCACGTAATCTTTGTCCTCAAGGTGAGATCAGGTAAGAAATGGTTGTATCGATGTACACTTCACACAGTTGGGATAGATGAAGTAGTAAGTGTGAACACGGACCAAAGCGGGTGGTCTGCAGGTCATCTATCTGGACATTTCCAGGTTGATACGCAAGCGGAAGCCGATGCTACAGAGAGACAGATATACGTTTATCATGCCAGAGCTGTTAAAAGTAAGGTCTGAATCAAATTTCTTACCTGATGCATAGCATTTAAGAAGTGGAACGACAAAGAAGAAAAAGAAGCACTGGTTATGAAGATGCTAATTTTGCTTAACACCAATTAATAGCGATGACTTGTGAGAATTCTAATTCCCAGACAACCATTCGTGAATTAATCCAGTAAAAGCCTTTAGAACATCACGCTTAGCAACAAGTGTTTGATCCAGGTTCCACCTTCGTTTGGCGGTCATGTATCATGTATCACGCAAGACAAGAGCTGTCTAATATACTGCAGGCTACTGTTCGTAAACATTATTTACAATAAAGACGCTTCACTAAAGCCACCCCACTGGTCTACAAGCTTTGTAAACCTTCAACGAGTACTTGAGGAAACGTTGCTATCTTTTTGGCGTTTCTGATGCGTGAGGCTAATGTACAGATCGGGAATGAAGAGACATGCTTAGCAGCCACACATATAACAGGAACTCTCGAAATCGTATACGCCCAAACCCAAACGTCACCACCTCAGCCTCCTCGGCATCATAAGCTGAGGCCGGTCAGCTTTTCACTGACTTCCCAGAGTCTCCTGGCAAGCGTCGGATCTTCGGCGATCTTGCTGGGCAGGGCTCGTCGGCAGTCCATGAAGTATTGACCAGTTACCTTGGCGACTTCGTCAGACACGGTGAGATATATGGACGTCTGCGCACCTTCCTTCGGTGTCTGTAACGCAAAGGCAAGAATATACAAGTATTTTCGCTCTTAGCCAGTTCTGATGCAGTTGAGAACAAGTAAGAAAGAAAAAACGATAAAAGACATGATAGGGCACCTTTAAACTACTCTTTCATGGACTTGACGAACAGCACACTTTTTTCATTCTTCTCATTCTTTTATTTTTTATGTACTAAGGTGGTTGTGGGTGCACGCCATGAAAAACGTCCTGTTTTTTTTTTCTCTCTTAGATTGTGTGAAAAGTGTCGTGTTTTCCTTTTTGCTAATCTGTTTAAAACATAAAAGGCGTTGAAAGCTTTATGAGCAAAATATGCGCGAATATAGTAGCACGCTCGCACCATTACAGCACAATTATAGAAGTGACAGAAGTGACACCCAGGTGCAAACACCGGTGTATCCACAAAGGGTGTCTGGATTGTTGTGACTGTTTCCTGTTTTCAACACAACTTTTTCTGCCACATGAACTCAGGTGAATCCTTGAAAAAATAGCTAACAAACCTATAATTCTATAACGTTTTTTCTTCAGCACAAGCTCAATTATATGGGACAAGCTTAATCGATGGCAAGAATGATTTCCCGAAAAGAGTGGCACATGTATCTTTCCAACTGCGCGGATCATTTGTTACGGAACAGATGAATTATGGAGATGCCGTGAAGGCAATGTAAGACACACCTTGCCAAAAAAGTAGAAGAGAGCGTTCATCACGATGTTCATGAGGCCGACGTAGGTGCTGTTGATGTCCGTCTGCACCGCGCCAGGGTGGAGAACGTTCGCCTGTCACGCCTGCTAACATTATTAATTAATTAATTAATTATTAATTTATTTATTTATTTAATTATTTATTCAGAAATACCCTGCTTTGCCCAAAGGCGTGTAAGCGGGGGGGGGGGGGTTACATGCTTCGAAAAAAAAAAAACAAGTCTTCAATATGACAGCACACTTGGATCACAAGACAACTAATTCCACTCTTGTACAGTATGAACAAAAAAAAGAATTAGCCTAAAGGTTCGTTACAGTCCGGTATTCTTGAATCTTAAGGTCATGATCAGACCTTCTAGACAGATAATGCGGTGGTTTAAGGTAAGTGTCTTTATTGATGCCAGTCTTCTTATGGTATATCTGAACATTGCCGCACCACTCAATGAAAATCGACAGCTCTTCGAGGTGTAAACGACGCTGTATTACAAGGTGTAAACGCATGTAAGTATTAATTGATATATGGGGCTTAACGTCCCAAAACCCTCGTATGATTATGAGAGACGCCGTAGCGGTGGGCTCCGGAAATTTCGACCACCTGGGGTTCTTTAACGTGCGCCCAAATCTGAGCACACGGGCGTATACAGCATTTCCGGCTCCATCGGAAATGCAGCCGCCGCAGCCGGGATTCGATCCCGCGACCTGCGGGTCAGCAGCCGAGTACCTTAGCCACTTGACCACCCCGGCGGGGCCACGTGTAAGTAAAAATACGCGGAAGCCGCCATATAAAGCGTGTACAATATAGTAAAAAAAAAGCTGCCAGGCCAGCGTGGAACCCAAAGCACAGTCACTGCTGTAGGAGCAGCCTTGGAGAGCCTTTGTTTAAGCACTCATTGCGTAATTGGTATACAAGAACACTTGCAGGGTACCCACTACGCCATAAATCATAATTTTTGTGTGGTAGAGAGGCATTCACTATAGACCATTCTTTGTCATTCTTCGCAGAAGCGTGGTACCCGCTACATACTTGCAAGGAATTTTGTGCGTTTTTTTTTTTTGCGCTGTGCACTGGCTCACAAAGATGGAGAATTATGCCTGAAGCTTCTGTGATGAGTTGGAGTATTCAATGACCCAATAGGTTATGCAATTCACATTGTGTGACGCCTGGATTGTTTGTTTACTATATCTGAAACGCCTTATTACTCATATTAACGCAATTTCTTTCCCGGCATCAAGCCTGCCTAAGCCAAGTTTGCAACTAAGTTTCAAGCACCGGCATGGCCTGCGGTAGAATACTGGGCTGGCACGCAGCGGACACGGGTTCGAATCCCATCGTGTCCTTTTATTCACTCAGACAGTTTTCTTCTTTCGCGCGGTAGGACTGAAGGACATCTATGGCACACGCGACCTTTGTGATCTCATAATAGCTCAGTTCGCCGTAAAATGCATCACAACATTGTAGCCTGCATAACGACATCTAACTTGCTTCCTGCACGAATAATCATGACGGTCTTTAAATGCAAAGCATTTATTTTCGCACTGCGCACTCTTTGATCATTTCTATCTATCTATCTATCTATCTATCTATCTATCTATCTATCTATCTATCTATCTATCTATCTATCTATCTATCTATCTATCTGTCTGTCTGTCTGTCTGTCTATCTCCCACTTTTGGGTGCTCTCGTGAGATCACTTCCTTAACTTCGTGTAGACCAAAATTATTCTCTTGTGTCCTCGTAGGCGTGCGCTGTGTTAAAATATGTCCAAGTATACTGTCACCAACTGTTCCAGCTTTCAATCCTTCTAGGGACCAATATTAGGATGGGAGGGTACGAGAGTTTGGAGATCACGACTGTATGCGAGGCATTTATTTACGCACACGACATGACAAATAATAAAAACCCCTCTCGTACGATGTCAAACCCTTTCCTCCCGACACGTGTGGCACGTGCCCCTAAACCATAGGCCATGGTATGCAGGTATGCGGCACAGGTGATTGGCAGTTTGTATCTGCCGAGGAACAGCGACAACAGACATTGGTAATTTAAATGTGAGAAGATAAGAAAAGGTGACGTCGGCAGCGTTGAACAGAAGAATGGAAATATGTTATATGGTCCCAGCAGGAATAGAACGAAAGCATTCAGCGTGACAATCAAGTATTCTGCCACAGAGCCATGCCAGATCTCGGAACTGCTTTGGAGAAAGGTCCTACAGATGCAGGCGTGATGCCTATGAAACGCCAATTCTGGTTATATGGCTACGCATCTTGGTTCATGAACATTACATGTGTACTTCATTGATACAGGCGTCAGGTACGAGGTTAGCGTCAACTGTAGTGAAGCTCCATTCACTGCAGTTGGTCTACGTAGTAGTATTCAGGGCCACGACCCTCGTAAGCACAAGCGCTACATTTCAGTTTACCGCTTCTGGTGTTCGTACACTACCCATGTGGCTCTTGGCACCGTTATGCATCTGGCTATATAAAACATATGCGACTGTTCAACGTATACGCCTGTGTGTACATTTGTGCACATGCTTAGCGTCATTGCATAACGTTTCACTAAAGAAATAAAAAAGTACACCACAGTCACCTTCCCTGAGCAAGCTTAGCATGTCTTCGATTCCCCAAGGTAAGAGGGATCTGTCGAATTTTTTTGCCTTTGTCTCCCATCTGGCTCCAATCTGGCTCAAAAAATACGTTTTGTGCTTAAGGCTCACTTAGAATGACACTCACCAAGATTGTCCTCAACGACTCACTCAGACTCAGTGACCTTAAAACATTTTCAGCCACACTCGCCCAGACTCATACACACCAAGATATTTACTCATTCTGACTCACTCGGATAGATATCACGGCCTAGTCTGAGTCTGAGCGAAAGTTATTGAGTTGAATAATGAATGACTTTGCCAATATTTGCCTTAGACAAGTCTGCTTGTGCAAACATTGGCTTCAAAGACACTCCGCGTTCAAGACGTCTCCATTTCTTGTAGGCGAGAGTATTAGCCACGCAGAGCACCCTTCAGGGAGCAAAAAAATGATGTTCTTCGTTTTAGTTGGGGGATGGGTAGTGCACACACTCCTACCGGTTCCCAGGAGCCTCCTGGCCAGCTCCTTGGTGAAGAGCACGTTAGCCAGCTTGGTGTCGCTGTACACCTGCATGGGCACCCGGTACTCGCCGTAGTCCAGGTGGCCCGGGTCGATGCGGCCGAAGTGGTGCAGCAGCGAAGACAGCGTGATGATGCGGCTAGGAGCACTGGCCTTCAGCTTCCCTGCGATTGATCATAAAAGTCGGCCCGAACGATTCTCAGCCTCACCGAGGAGGAGGAGGAAAGATTAAGTGGAAAGGCAGGGAGGTAAGCCAGTTCTTAGACAGGCTGGCTACCCTGCGCTGGGGAAAGGGGTGAGGGGGATAAAAGATGATAGAAAAGAAAGGTTGCAGAGAGAGAGAGAGAGAATACAGAAAATAGCGACAGAGGAAAGGCAACATCAAAGAGAATAAGATACTAAAGTCTGTCTCTGAGGCCAGTTGTCCGCAAAAAGCGTAGCAAAGCTTTCAAAGCATTCTGGGCTGAGGATGGGCTCGGCCAATGACTCAGAATCCTATGTTCCGACAAAGGCCGGTCATCTAGTCTATCCAGAGCTGCAGTAAGTTCTTGTCTTGGCCCGTCGAACTGGGTGCACTCACATAGAAGGTGCGCGATGGTTTCTTTCCAGCTGCAGTAAGTGCATGTAGAAGAGCTAGCCATTCCAATAAGATAGGAGTGTGCGTTCGAGAAGGTCACTCCAAGCCACAGGCCGTATAGAAGAGCCTCCTCAGCTCGAGATGATATTCCTGGGGGAAGACGAAGCTGGAGATCGGGATCCAAGTTATGCAGGTGCGCCCCAACGAAATGGCTGATTAAGCGAGTTCGCCAGGTCCCCATGCCGTTCAGGCTCACAAACACACGCTATATGAACCTTAGGTGAGGTTGCCAGTTAGGCTGTAATAAGCGGCGTTGGGCTCAGTTTTTCGCCGAGTCACTTGTAGAATATTCCAGTCGCTTGTCACGTTTTTTCGGGCTTAGTTGCAACTACTCCCGCAATTATAGATATTTTATTGATCATCACGTTCACCAATGCACGTTTGTTGTTCACCAAGTGCGTTCCCCAAGAGCCAACTGGGGGTGATCGCAATGCATTATGAGGCAATACAAAGTCACAGAGTTCTATGTGCCTACGGCACGAGTACGAGCTGAAAGCCTGCCATGACAAAAGATAACTGAATCAAAGATAGAAAGTACTATACCAGGTTTTCGTTAATTACCACGCGCTAAACACTGAGCTCTAGCGAGCCTTGAACGCACGTGATCCATCTATATCATATCTCTAGTACAGAGACAGCTATAGTTCAGCGCCCGCTCGCAGTAGATCATAAAGCTGTTACTAACCGCTTTCGCGAGGTCCTCAATCGGAGCCCAATCTCAGTGTTCTCGTATAATGTACAGAACGTGCATCAGATCCATTGTGAAGAACAGCGGCGTGCTCGAACTCTAAATTCTGAGCGAGTCATGCACTGGGCGGAATCTCTCACTATAAAGCGCATGTTCGCTTTCGAAAAAAAAAAAAGGAGTGATACAAGCGATTGAGCAATCAACAAATCGATCATCACTCACCGAGAAGCAGGTTCGTAAGTAGGAAGGGCCCTAAGTGGTTCGTCTGCAGCGTTTGCTCGAATCCGTCGACCGTTTCCACTCGGTCCGGAAATGCTGAAAGAGGGCGACGGTAGAAACGAAGACGCAATTACATGCTCTCGAAATACAGTAGTTCTGCCATAAGGTATTCCCTTCGCCTGCGGACGCAACCTTTCGCTCGTGCGTCTAACGCATTCGTTAAGAAACTGCGGGAGTCGTTCTAATTCAGCCATTCACCTACGGCTTTGCGCACATCGAGCGCGGGCAGTTTATATAGAATATGAAGCTGACACGCGGTGGGGACACACTGATTTAATTATTACTTCCATACACTCAATAAATCAATGGCCACCGAACCAGGGCTCACCCTCGTCGTTCGAAGTCACAGTCGCTTCGTCTCGCTTAAAGAATTGGACATGGATGGATGGATAGACGCACAACATTGTTTACAACTTGATCCTGAGGTGCGCGCCTCAAGGCGTATACCTGGCCGCTCCCACATTGAACAGTCAGGGCAAGCCTGAACATCGTATCCTGGACCCTCTGGACTGCTCATACAGATATTTTTATGCGGACAACTATTGCAACAAAACATCTAAAACATAAAAAAGAATCGTCTATTTTATTTGTAATTTTATTTTGCTTAAAGTGCAACGATATTTGGAGGATATAGTTGAAAACCTCTAACAACAAATCTACCAGTACGTACAATTAGGAATTCTTTGTGCACCAACGACACCCTCATTGTTTCGGTTGTTACGATTACAAGGTATGACTTTCCGGTGGGATAGTTGGTTCAGTGTTTAGTCATTCTTATACTGCATTAAACGAGCGCGCAAGTAAGAAAGCATGCAGAATTACACCGTGCTCGTGGCTTTCTGTGGGTTTCATTAGTTGCGTACTCGTCTTTTGGCGCAGTTTAATGACGTCTCCAATGTTTTTACAGCGAAATTACATTCATAATGAAGCAGTTTGAAGATGGCCAGCATTTCTCTATAAAAGAGTGCCTCTGCCAAGAAAAACCCCGCGAGACGTAAATGAAGTCGCTCACGGACGATTCCGGCGTTGTTGATGAGCACGTCGAGGCGTTCTTCGCTGTTGTTGATGTCGTCGGCAAACTCGCGAATCGACTTGAAGGAGCACAGGTCCAGCTTGCGCACCACCACCTGGCGGCCGGTCTCGTCCAGGATCTCCTTGGCAGCCGCCGCTGCCTTCTCCGGGTTCCGGCAGGCGATGATCACTCGGGCATTGCGCCTTGCAAGCTCTTTAGCCGTCTCCTTGCCGATGCCTGCGCCAAAGGGAAAGGTATACGCAACGCTGAATGTGTGTTTTTGCGATAGTGCTTATATGGACGTTCTCGGTCGATTTTCGCCGTCGCCGTCATGTTCTGTAAAAACTCAAAACCGATAACATCATTACACGAACAGTGTCTACGCGTGAGTAAAAGTGCGCGAGTGTTGAGTACGAACGAAATCGAAACTGGGATGAAACAGGACGGCTATATTGTCACGTAATACAAGAGGGGGAACACACACAATGATTTATTGAGGGCGAACTTGTGCCCAGAAAAGTAGCTATGTCACAAAGAATAGTCTGCTAAAAGCGTTCCGCCTACGTGTCCCTTTCTGAACAACTACTCCGTCAGCCTTCCCGGCTCGTGCTCGTACACCAGAGGTATGCGCTGCTCTGCCCAAGATGCGTGAGCAGGCGCGAGGCACCGCAGACGCCCACATAGCGTCTCGTTGGCTGCGAGGCACCGCAGACGCCCACATAGCGTCTCGTTGGTTGCGAGGCACTGTAGACGCTCACATAGCGTCACGTTGGTCCTCTTTGTAAAATCATTAGTAGGAGCAATCTCTGTGGCAATATCCGTCGCATGACGTCAGCATGTGACAGCATCACCTCACGTGCAAGGCCCACCGTCGATCACTCCTCAAGAAGAGTGGAAACGCCCCGCCCGTCTTTCGTTGGGCGAATGAGCCTGAAGTGACGGGGTGCAGGCTGGATGGGGTTTGCACCACTTGAGCAGCAACTGCGAACTTGGATTATATGGGCGCGAGCACTGGCGCGACAGACATCAGTAGACTGCTCGCATAAGGCCTTGCATACTATATACTGTGCTTTCACCGCTTACTTCGCGTAGAGACGACGGACAACACGAACACCACACCGATCGGTCATACCCGCTTACACCACCGTTTTCATCATCATCATTTATTGTCCCTTATGGGCTCTGGGTTGGGCCATAAGGGGGGGAGCATCGAAGTATGCATACACGGTCACATTTACAAAAGAAAAAGGCATGTTAGCTCTGTTCACTGCTAGGAAACTGAAAATAAAAACAAAAATGACACATGCTACGCGTTTCCGCATGCGTTTGCAAAGTATTTGCATTGTGGTTTGACATGCACAAAACAAAGGAAAAAAAAGAAAAAATAATAAGAAACAAATAAACAAACAAACATCATAGTACGTGTTTACGAAATGATAAATGGACTGATTTTGTAAGCAGAATCTACAATAAGGAGAGGTTTCGTTATACATTGTTATGGAGTCGAGGACTGTGGTATTATATAATTTTGCGGTACAATATTTACAAAAGAATAAAGAATAAAAAAGGTACAGTACAGAGTAACGTGAGATCTTATCCAAAAGAGTGAGTTGCTATAGCCTTACTCTGTACAACATACGAATTCGTTGTTCGAGTAATTGATAGTACCCTATACTGCGCTGTTAGTGTAACCTACCAGCGTCGACGCAGTCTTCAACATGCAGCCTTGAAAAGAAAATGTTTCTTACGAAAAAACCTGCTTATGTACAGCGTTCTTAACGAGTTGTGGTACGTGAGTGCACATATTAGGCGGGAAAAGCTAACGGAATAAGTAATTTAGGCTTAAACATGGGGAATACTTACAGACATGGCATTACAGCCAAGCACGGTTTGAGCGGTCCGACTATTGCACTAAAATACCACAGTACCGAAATCAGCGTAAAGGAAGACATTGAAGTGTCTACCTTATACCCCTGTCACAAGGCCACCACCAAACTCCGTTGAACACCGTCAACGTAAATCTCCCCTGGAGGGTTCGACGGAGAAGAAGTTGTGGCAGTGTCACACGGCAATGACAAGGTTGTAACAGTTGCCACGAGGGGGCTCAGCTGGTGCTGTTTGATTTTCGGAAAAGTATTCTAATTTGATCCCTATAGATGTTTTGTGAATCCCCGTTATGCGGTTTTTACAAAAAAGCACTATAAAGTAGGTACGCGACTAACAAACCAATAAAAATAATTTCAAATAAAAACGCATTTGCTAATTGTAGCAACGCTGATAGTGACGCTGGCCACATTGTGCTTTTAGTTGTTTTGTTGCCTGTGTACATGCCCGGTACAAAATTTCTTATGCTTCCTTGCCTCGTGAGCGCACATTTTGTGTCTTTCAGCCATGAGTGACACAGCGGACGACGTGAGGAAGTGGTACGATATTGCGCTGGTAATGACGTTGATCGGCTGGCGCCGGCCGGCCCGACTCGCGGGGCACGGTGTGTAGAAACGTTAGTGTGTAGGGCATCGGTGTTGAGAGTAAGTGAACTCTAGCGGGCGTAAATATTGTAAACAAACACGCGTTGTGAATGAGTACTACAACGAAAGAACGTTTAATATTGCTAAAATGTATTATTCTTTCATTGCGGCCACTTAGTGCTCGAAATTTTTCTCTGACCTCTAGACTGCTGAGAACGAGAGTACCTCGTTTCGCTGCGAAGGGAGATCGTTGAACGTCCTTTGCGAAATGCTCCGTTCACCTTCGTTTGCGTAAGGGTGGCCGTGTGACACCGACCGCATCTTCGCTGTCGTAAAGACGAGGGAGTTAAACGGTCTTCACGGGTGCCCGTGTGACAGGGGTATTAATCTAGTTTCTTTTTTTTCTTTTTTAAAGTGAGACTGGTTTTCATGAAATTGATTCCCACAATGCGTGGTATCTGCTCTTTTTTTTTCGCGAGTAAGCACTAAATCTCGTCCAAGTCGACACTCCTATGGTCGAAGCATGGCAAGGAAGCCAAGTACTATAGGCTGTAGTGCCATAACTTCACCTGTAACAGCACTGTATCCTATATATGCCGCTACTATACAGAAGCGCGGCGTACGTGTGATTGCCAGTTGGGTCATGAAAGACGTACCCGTGTTGGCGCCCGTGATGATCACCGTGCGGCCCGTCAAGTCCTTGTTGGAGGTGCACCTGCCCAACGTGAGACGACTGTACACCTTGCACACCACGCACACCAGAGCGATCACCGCAAGCACCAGTGAGATGGCCCAGCCGAGCAGCTGGTTCAGAGACGCGTCCCGCAGGCGAGCAGCCACCACATCCACCAGTCGCGGTTCCGGAACCTTTCGTGAATGAAAGAGAAATGTGACTGCGCACCATTGCTCATAGTAAGCACCGAGAACAGCATTTTTTATGGGGGCAAAGTTGGCAGAGCTCGCGGCAGTGAATGACGAAACAGTCAAGTTTGCTGCAAGGGTGAATCGATGATTGCGATAGCAACGAATCGGAATGTATAGTGCGAAGCAAGGTCAGCAGACAACACCTTCAGAAAACAATCTCGCGTAACTCTACAAAACGCTGGTGTAAGGGAACACAGCTGCTCCTACGAGCGAAGCAGTCATGGTGATTTCTGTGGCAGCGACGAAAAGCAAACGGGGAAAGCACAGCTTGTACAAAGCTGTCAGCTGTAAATATTGCGCACGCAGCCCCACCTAGCTGATTAAAGTTCACAGTTGCTGCCCGAGTAACGCAGCTTGTAACACGCTGACACTTGTAACAGACCGGAATCGACTTGGAAACTGATTATGTCTTTCAGCTCTCTTAGTCCCCGATAAGGAAATAACTGGCATAAATGTCTGGTCGGGTGGCGGTCTTCGTACCCGGAACCGGAAGCCGGAACTTAGCCGACGTGCTTAATCTTACTTGACAGCTCCGCACACAAAGGTCTTCGTGCTTCGCTTCACACAATGTGGGTCACTGTTTCGACCGCCCCACGTGACCTACCCACGAAACAGATATAGATAAAAGCACTCGAGACGGGCGACCGCTGTCGAGACAAGCTTGAAGACGGACGATGTAGGAAAGAATGGCTTGAGTTTACGTTCATTCCTTATGGCTTCTTCTATTTCTATTTCTAAACACGGTCATTGCAATGCTGTCGTAGTCCTTCACCGTCTCCGTCGGTTCCTGTTTAAATCGCGTCATGCGTAGGACAGATTGAGGACGGCTCTGTTTTGTCGCGACGTTCCGTGCAGTAATGGCGCAGACGTATAAGCACCCGCAGTAGGGTTCATCGAATGCTTTTACTTTTCTACTAAGCGCCGGAGTAGTGGCTGCTGTAGTAGTCGATGTTCCCACAAAACCATTGGCTGAGCCAGCAGCCCCACGTGATCTCGCTTTGACCAATCGGGTGCAAGCGCGCGCATTTCACACGGAAGCACGCAGATTCACAACTCGGGATCTCGTTAGCCGATCACATAGACTCGCGCGCTTTCATAACCACACGTAACTTCGCTAACCAACAATAGGACGGACCCTCGCAAGATAGACGTCGCCGTGCGGAATGCGTAGCGTTGCGAGCTTCAGAAGACCAGAAACACTAACCTTGGAGGAGTGCGGCTGAGCCGAGGACATATACTGAGGGCATCAAGGACCAATGCACGGAATGTCACGCGGAGGATTATCACGCAGACACAGCTCCGCTGTACAATCATCTCCACGGAGTGGATGGGCCGCAGATGCTTTTCTCTTGTGGTCAACCATTAGTGCAAACTTCGAGTACAAAACATTTACAGGAGGTGCTTGTGTACTCTGTGAGAGGGGTGTTTCAATATTGCACTGTCCATTAAATACCTGCTATACAATCATGTAATGTCGTCATAATAATGTTCGTTACAATTAACCAGACTACTGCAGGTCATTGCAGTGCGCAAGATAAAGAACACTGAGCTGCTGATTACGAGTTTCATCATCATCATCATCATCCTCATCATCATCCTCATTTTCATCATCCTCCTAACTACGCCCACTGCGGCTGCGGCGAAGGCCTCTTCCATATGCCGCCAATCAAACCGGTCCTGTGCTTTCCGATGCCACGTTACACCTGCGGACTTCTTGATCTCGTCCGCCCACATGATTTCCTGTCTCTCTTTTACGCTTTTGCCTTCTCTTGTAATCCAGACAGTGACCCTTGTTAGGAATGAGGTGTTGTGACACCCTACTACCGCTGCCACATCTCTTAGGTAACGGGTGTCGCAGTATCATATATCGTTTCCACAACTGCTATAGGACTGAGGGTGGCGTGGCCTGCGGTGCAAACGCGTGTGACCCTCGTGCTCGGAGCCGTCACGAGGACGAGTTGAAGAGAGAAAGGCACTTTATAGAGAGTATTTACATGTATGTTGACGGCCTCAACTCTCATAGAACAGGCAGGGCGCGCTCTTCGCGCGATGCGCCCGATTAAATGGGAATAGTGGGGTTCGTCGCAACCTTGTCTCTCCATGTGGTGGCCAAATGGATTGACATGGCTGTACCCTTTAGATCGGGCGGTGACTTGCGCCACCAAGCCGTAATACTTAATGAACCAAAAACTAGAATCTTTTTCCTTTGAATAGTGAGGTTGAGGATTCGTATACTTTGCAGTGAAGGGTTTGATTTTCACTCGTGCCTTGACTTTAGCAACCAATCAGATAACCTTCTTCTAGTTGATTCTACCCGCTTAAAGTCTATTTTGCCCTCCCTGTCTCTAAACCACAGTGCTCCGAAAAAACTCTGCGCCATCATACTGAACTATAGGGTGAAGCCCTTTACAGAACATTATCAAGTGTTTGGCAGTTTCTTCTTCCTCTCCACACGCACTGCATACCGCGTCTACCCCTTCGTATTTGGCCCGATATGTCTTGGTTCGCAAAGTCTACCGACCCAAGTGCCACGTGCGGGCACATAATGATGGGCCCCACCCGGGCTTCCAAGGGACAATACCCGGTCGTCGACGTATGACCACGTAGTGGGTGAATGACTGCCTTGGTGATCCTGTTTCGGAGCCGATGGCCTGCTATGAGCTCCTGTCGCATGCCTAGACGGGGCAAGTGTGGTCTGACCAGGTCAGCATGATGTCGAACAGGCAGAACTGCACGCGCACGACGGGGCTTCATCTTTCACACCACACAGAAATGTTGCTTCGTGGTCGTTGCACCCAGCTTAGGAATGTCTGTTTCCTTGGAACGACGACAGGTGTCGATGGCAGGCAAGGTACGTAGCGGCACAACATCCTCAATGACCAGCGGTTATCTCTTTCCTGTCTATACGCGCTATAGGAGCCCGGCACATGTCCATTTCTTCTTGGTTTTAGGCATCTAGGGGTTTATGCATCTTTATTGCCGCGGATAGTTACGGTGTTAAGGAATTTTTTTTCTTTTCTCTTATAGGGAAAGTTACGTTGTTTTGTGCGTTGAGTGGGGCCGCATAACACGATGCTTTGCTTTCCTGTTGTTTGCCTGTTTGCCTCGCTAGGCGGAGTATTGCTTCGGAGTGTTGCTTGTTCCCCCGTAAACATCCACGACAACTCATTTCATTCTTTCTCGTGCAATCCGCGCCACCATGTGCGAAGCCAGAAACAGCACAGGCCTGAGCGCAGACTCAATGCATCGGAAAGAAACAGCAACACGCCACCTCTTAATTTGGCGCTAAACAACAACAACAACAACAACAACAACAACAACAACAACAACAACAACAACAACAACAACAACAACAACAACAACAACAACAACAACAACAACAACAACAACAACAACAACAACAACAACAACAACAACAACAACAACAACAACAACAAAACAACAACAACAGCAAAAACAACAACAACAACAACAACAACAACAACAACAACAACAACAACAACAACAACAACAACAACAACAACAACAACAACAACAACATGAACCGCAGCCAAACAACTTCACCCGCAGCGAGTCATCCGAACCCCACCAGATTATCAGGGCGGGATGAATCACACTCTGCAAAGCGGGGGAGGAAGCACAGGGTATGCAGCCTCGAGGAAGCCACTTGTTACGTCTAAGAATGGCGTCACCTTTTCCACGTGCACAAGTTTGTTTCGCTCGTAGGCTGTGCTTTCGAAAAAAAAAAAAGAAGCCGCAAGGATGATACGATGAAAGACAAGGCTAAGGGAAGTTGGAAAGGAAGCGAGGAATGTGCGCGAATCTGGCAAGGAAATGGCGGCGTATACACGAAAGGCACGCACGGTTGCGCAGTCACAACAAAGCATAACTCTCTGTCACAGAATGTCCTTCCTATACTGCTTGCGCGTGCGCAGAAGCTTGTCGATGTAACACGTTGTCACGCGTCTTTTGTATACACTGGCTCGTTCTTCTTCCTGTTGCACTCCTTATGTTGCTCAAACTTTCATGCAGAAAGTTGTAATGTTCCTGTTTCGGTAATGCAGTTTTTGTCTCATGTCGCATTGTTGTTATTTTTTAGGAATTGTTTTTTAAAGCTTGACAGTAGGGCCATCAGAGCGCCATTCAATATCTCATTGAGCACGCCTCTTTTCTTTTTTCTGAGCCTGACGTTTTACCTACGCCATTAAACCTAATCGTAACGTATTCGATGCGAAAAAAAAAAAAAAACGTCCACGATAGGCTCAAGCTGCTGGTATGGTATATATGAGGTGCTTTCATCGGCAGTGTTCCCTGGCGGCGGCTTTCTTCTAGTATACAACACCGATCACTGTCCCACAGGGATGGTCCTCAATTATCAACACAGGGCTAGAATTAAATGAACTTGCCCAAAGTGCATCCATACAAGAGTGACAAATTATCATCCCAATAAAACCAGCAGATTGTGAAGCCAAGGACCGTATAGGTCTCTCTATTTGTACTACTTCGATTGTAGTTTAGTATTTGCGATATAGATGTGATGTGGACGCACGTAATACGAAAGTTGCAGCTGCGGCCCGTGCTGACGGCAAGTTGTCTTGCACTTTATTTCTCCGCATCTATATCACAATTACTAGAGTATACGCTTGAAACAACACTATTCGCGTGGCGAATACCTTTCCTTCTTACTTAATAATCTTAGCGCTATATATGCATTTGACAGCGCCCGTCCTGTCATATGAAGAGAAATCGCTCTGTTGATTCTTGAACATGTTTCTGTTTTTCAATGTGTATAAAGTTGCCCTTGCTTGAAATACTTCGCCATATTGTAGGGTAGTTTCTTATTGCTGTAATTTCTTGTTGTGTTCCTTGATGCATATGCCAATATGTCAACCAATGTGTCAACCAAGTCGCTGCATTTATTTTCTTCTGACAACTTTTCTTTTTTACACTAATGTTTTATGCCTTCTTTGATCTGAAATTGTTAAATGATCCGATTCTGTTAGTTTCATTCTGTACTTTATCGCGATGTATGTCTTTATTGTGTACCTATTCGAATTTTTATGTTCACGCCCTTCCTGCTAAAATCCCTGATGGGATTGGCAGTATGTCGAAATAAAAATAAATAAATAAATAATATAAATACTTCTCGTCCTCGTCAAATGTAGTGCTACAATTGAGAAGTAAAACGTATCACAAAATAGCCTCGCAACGTGTTTTGTCAAGTGAACTATATAGCCTCCTTGGCTTCATTGGGGAGTTTTCTAATAGGGGCTTCAATAAAAGTTTGTGGCCCCAAAGCGCTTTGCGTGTGCTTGCTTTGGGTCAAGCAGGAGCTAAGAGTTTTCGAATATATAGTGTCTGTGGCGCATTCGGACACAGTCTGGGTCATACTAGTCTTGGCCAAGAGCCGTTGCTTCAGTAGGTGCCGGCTCGTTTGTTTGACGCAAAGCTCTTGTGGCAGACTTTGGGGCTCCCGTGAAATTCGAGCTATAGCGTCCGCAACGCAAAACCCAAACGCTGTTTGGGTCTCGCGCATGCGCAGTGGCCTCGACGCACCTTCTTTGGGGCTCCAAAACGATCGGGGTCCCTATTAGAAAGCTCCCTATTATCTGCCGGTTTTCATTAAAGTTGCGTCAGATAAAAGAAACGAGCCCTCGGGATTACCTTCCTCCATTCAGATTATTGTCTATGTACGACCATGTGTCACCACTCACCACGACTACTTGTTTAATGCTCTGACGACATTAGTGCCCCCCACTGAATTGTACACACATGCGGATGCCTATGGGAGAGTTCACAACCACCCCATTGCATAGCAAAAAGCTACGGGAAAAAATGCACACAGACTTCTCAGAAACCAGCATTTCCAGTTGGCGAACAACGCCCCTCTCGGGTTGTCGTTCTATCGTTTGAGCTAACCAGGATGCCATCACATGAGATTCGTATGAAGTCCCTCTTGTACCTTCGCGCTACAAAGGTGTCACTTGTCCCTTTCGTCACCCTCCCGTCACCTAGCGGTACTCCGCTGAACTGATCGAAAACATTCAGACGCAATATGCAGATCCAATGCGCATATGGCACTAAAGCTGCAGGAAAAGGGAGGCACGAAACAGAATTTGAGAATAGCGGCAAACCGTATAGCGTCAGGAAAGATTCACCACGGCATGCCGGAGCGGAAGAAATCGCGCGCCCGCTATAGGAGGAAAACGGCTCGTAAGTCTCCCGACCTAAATATACACACGTGTAAGTGCTTCCAGCGGAATATGCACGTCGTTTCCGCATTTGGCTCGGCGTATATTTGGGCGCAGATCTATCGGCAAAACGTATAGCGTGTGTGTAAGCGTGCATCCAAAGTGCTGAACCTGCAGACGAGTCGAATACGCTGCTGGCGGTCGCACACGCTGCTTTCTCAACAGGCCAAGCACGACTCGGTGTTACGTTATGAGGAAGGATATAAACTGCGATATACAAACATGAGAACGGTCCGCAAACCAAGCGGATTAGATGTGGACCGATAAGTACGCCAACAGAAGGCGTGCCAGTACACATTATAGAAGGGAAAGTCCTCGCAGAAGATATGAAGTAATCGCGTTTGTTTTGGGAAGCGAATGCGCAGCGGGAAGACGATGAAATAAACGGAACGCGCGTGGTTACGCAGTCTTCGGGCGTCCATTCAGTGGCACGCAACGCGGCGATATGCGTAACTCTTTCGCAACCAATATCGGAGCGATGACTGCCGTAACACAGACCTCGTTGTAATCTCCACTTCGTTATGTATAGATTATATGTCTAACAAAATCATACTTGACATGGTATACGTACCTTTATGTATTTGATGTATTGTATACATGCAATCCGTTGTTTGCATGGAACAATGCTGCAAGATACTGCAAATGACTTATCACAAATATGTTTCCTTCTTATATTTTGTTTCGATTTTTTTTTCTTGCATGATTGAAGTGTACTTATAAAATATCTGCTTTGTTAACACAATCTGTTCCTTTAATTGCATATTTATTTAGACCCCCTACTAGCCAGTGGCTATGGGTCTAACCAGTGTTGTGTATTTTCATGTAATAAGAGAACTTGAAATAAAATGAAAATGAAATGAAATGAAATAGAGGATGTTCATCAGGTTCGTTTAGCTGTACCAGCTGTACCATACTGCAGCTGTTGGGCACACGAGGTTCCACTGACTACGTTGCTCGCGGTGGCAATGGCAATGGAGGTGGTGTACGTGCTATAGCGCATAGATACGGTTTGTAATAATTGTTGAAGTTTTGCATCCCAGAACCACGATATATACAGCTTGTTTATCGACCTTGTTGAAAACGGTTATATAAACAAGCTAGATATAGTCAATAGTCTCTTAGCTGTGACGGTTTGAGTTTGTCAGCCATCTTTTAAAGATTCGACTTTCCTATCAAAATACCATGACGAAAGCGCGCATCTCCTATCTGAACCGTTATACACAACTGATGGCGAGACATCTGTATGCCTCACCTAGATTGTACCCTTTCCGAATGGGGAAACATTAATTTATATCTCATTGAACGTTTTTATTTCCTTGGCGCAGCCTGACCACTGTTTCTCTTTTGCTTTTCTGTTTCCTTGAGATTGTGGTTGAGTATATTTATATGCAGACTGGGAGAATAGAACATATTTGGTTGCTAGTCAGCGCCTCGATTTGTGTCCTTTTATCGCCTCGTCTGTCGGTGCCGTTTTCTACACAAAATCATGACACAACCAGCCCTAAATGCGTATCTCAATTGCAGACGATGGACTGCTAACAGAATGCTACACTTACTCCCACTTTTCTAATAGTGTTTAGAGTCATACAGCATGTGCTAGCAGGAGCGCAGTTCCTGCACTACAGGATTACAACGGCAATCAAGGAGGCATTTAAAACATTCAAATTCTTCAAATCTCTTTCTCAACGAATACATGACACGTTAAAGGATTGTAAGGGCAAATCAGGTTCCTTACCTCGCGAACGAAGTCATCTGCGGGGCAGTAGTCTAGCTGCGACGGATCACTGATCCTCTGGGCGAAGAGATCCATGGCTGTTAGCTTGTAGTTCTCGTGTTAGGGAAATGAAATGTACCGGTAGTTGGGACGTTTTTTTGGCTATGGATAATACTTTTGATGACCTTGGAGAGCTTCGGTGTGGTGCTTGCGTGTCTGCGTTTAGGGAGAAGAACGCGAAAACGACTGCAGTTACCAAGCAGCAGGTTGCAAGAGCTGTCCGGATGCCAACGAGGATCTCAAGGGGCGAGAACGAACGGCGAACGTTATGTTAAATGTACAGGAAGCAAGAGGGCTCTTCGTCCGCACATTCTCATGTTCTCGTTGGTGTTTACCAGCAAGTATTAGCTTTTCGAACCTTCAAGGCGTATCCACGGCGAAGAAGAGTCTGAGGTGTGGCCAAGAGGAAAACTAACGACTAGTCGAGTAGGTAGTCTTTGGCAGTAAAATTCCCGTCTGAAAGAAAGTCAAGTTCACTTTGCAGACCTTAGCGCACTTCGCGATAACGCTTCAAAGCTCCGCAGTCGGCTTCTTGCTTCTCGCATCCAATGTGAGTACTGCGAACAGGTAGAGAGAAGGAGGAAGAATCCGCACGGATCGATGACGTCGTCAGACTCTGTAAGTTTAGATTCGAAGAGTTCTAGCTTCCGGTCGAGCAACTGACGCTGTCTTCGATAGAAGTCGGCACGTGAAGACACTTCGGGTAGTTTCAGTATCCAGGTCTTCGCTTGAACACGCGTTATGCTGAGATTCTTACACCCGACCGATTTCTACGCAGAAGCCGATGACAACTTACACTATCCTGGTGAGGATTTTCGCTGCTGGTTTCTGAGGCGGATCCGATGCGACGACGTCCTGTGATGAGGCGTGACTCGCGAGTTGACGGCGACTTGGACTTCGTTTGTGGGCTTCGGTGGGAACCTCAGTATGGGGCTTAGACGTGCACTTCGCTGCAGACTCTAAGGTCGACTTCGGTGCTCACTTCGTTTTCCGTTGCACCGCGAAGTCCTTGAAGAAATTGCCGAACCTTGAGCACGATCCTTCGGTCCTGGCGGTCAGTTGGTCACTTGGCTGCACTCAGACACACGCGACACACCTCGAACTGCACTCTACTCGCGTCCGCATCAGCGCCACGTGCGCACTGCACTGCCGGAACCACGATGTAATCCGCCGGAGGAAAAGCTTCGCTCCGTTGAGAAGAGGAACTCTCCTACAGGATCCTATAGGCGTGGCGGGCGTCGAATCTGACAGGTTGCCACGAGCCGAGCCCCGGCACCTAAATAGAAGGTAGCACGACAGGTATGAACAGGAAACATCGAAAGTAACGGGCGTCGTCTGGCGACGCAGCACCGAGTGAAAGTAAGAACGGTATAGCATGTGCGTAGGCAGGTGGGGGAGGCCGAAGAATTGGGGGGGGGGGGGGGTCAGGAATCGGAAAAGACGGCGTCCGAGTGGAGGAGGAAGTAAGAGATGACGTGAGAGAAGGGACAGGACGTAAACCCGGAACGCCGCCAGGAAGCAGGAAAAAGGATCCGTTTTCGGCAAGGTGGAGGAAGGGGGTGGGTGATGCAAGAAGGTCTCGTTGCCTCGCCCTTCCCCTCTTACTCTTACAACCACACTGTTGCCCGACCCACCTCCTTTCTCCGTCCACGGTATGATTCTAGCGTAGTCGTGTCGGCGTGTGTGCGTGTGTGCATACATGCCAGTCAGCGTATGTATGAGGCTCGCCCGTTTACTTTCGAACGCTCGCTCGAAGTCCCGTGGCGAGCCTCCGCCGCCACAGGTAATCGTGCCGCTACGCTGCTCTGGCGAGGAGGGGAAAAGCCTGCGGTGTTTATAAATAAACTCGCGCGCAGCTTGCGGCTGGCGTTCCATTACACAGACCGCCTCCTCTGTTGCGTGTGCGCTGTTTGTTGATGCTCTACGGCGACGCAGTGTGTAACGGTTGTCCTACACTCTAAAAAAAGAGTGAGTAAAAAGGGTGTCATTTTGTCCCACAACAACAATCGTCATCTATATTGCGTTCCATCCTTGCGCTATCGCCCCGCGCCCGGTACATTCCGGTCACGATCGACATGCCCATTATCAGGGTTACGTTGCATTCTCGATAGGAAAGTGGCCAGCGCCGCGTTTTCAAGAAAGCAAGCGCACGCAAGCCTGATGACGATTATTGTTGTGGGACAAAAAGACACCCTTTTTACTCGAGATTTTTTTTTAGAGTGTATCTGTTACGTTTGAAGCGGCAATCGCCGTTTTAACGGCTTTAAGATGCGAGCGGTAAATTAAAAAAAAAGGGGGGGGGGCAGTCAGTACTTGTGAACGCAGCCAGTGGACATTACGGCACCTCGCTTGTGGCGTATGTTAGAGAAAATAGATGGTCAAAAGAAAAAAAAAAGAAACAAGAATAAGGAAGCGAAATGCTTATCTCGATCGGAGAGTTTGTCGTGACACGAGTGGCGTGAGATAAGAGTGGTGGAGCGCGTACGAATATCGACTTTGCGATAAAAAAAAAAGGGGGTGGGGGGGAAAGCTAGCCACTGTGGTGACGTAATTCGCGTAAGAACTGCCACCACCGCTTCTAATATGTTGGCGTGATGTAACAGACTGGAAGTTCCTTATTATTTTTTTTTCTAATTTCCGCAAAGGTATGTGTCCTCTTAACGGGTTGCGTGAGGCACGGATTCTCTGCGAGACGAAATTCTCTTTTTGAGACTTCTCTATCCTGATAGGCTCGACACTTAGTGCTGACGTTGTACATGTTCTTTATAAATGAAAAAAAAAAGAGGAGAGAAAAAAGAAAAAAAAAGTGATATCGCCAGTAGAATGGGTGGTGAAAGCGAGAAATAAACCACTTTTTCAGTCTCTATTGTCATTGAATTCGGTGCGTGTAGCTTGTGATACTTTTTTTATAGTGAGCATCTGTACGTCTAGTGAGGCGTTTAGTATTTGCTGACTGCATTCTATTTTCCTCACCATCCGTACAATGTGGTATTTATATTGTATTTCAGCCGTTAACCATGTAGGTGTTCGGTTCCTTTCGCAGTCGGCGTTTGCAGACGCGAATGCAGAGCGCGGGCTCGAGTCACATTGTTGCCAATCCGGCGTCCTATAGATCGGGCAAGTCTAGACGGTCATCTCTAGTCTTATACAGCGAGCGGCTACACTTATCAAAGAGAGGCAATATAAGCTGGAGGCAGTTTAAAGCTCATCCTGCCGATCGATGAACACGGTGCAATTATGATCCGCCTGAAGGCTTTTCGGGAGCCATATCTGAGAAGGACAGGTCATGTGTGCATCGTAAACATCTTGATATGTGCCGAATTACACTCGAACAATTGCGAGGGACAAGACACTGAACGTATTATTGTGTCTGCGCGAGTCGACATTGATTGATTGATTGATTGATTGATTGATTGATTGATTGAAAGACAAATGGGGAATCAACATCGCTCCTATAAATGCACAGGCTGCCTAACGGAAGTTTTATTAATGTTTACTTTTCATATACTGCAGTGCATCATAGAAACAAAGCAGCATCTCATTGGACCACATTCTTCGGGAAGCATCAAAAACAGCATTTCGCGAGCTCTAACTGGAAAATTGAAAACACCTAGTAAGTTAAAATAGGACATTATTATTATATTGTGTAATACTACAAAGAAGACGAAGTATACTACATTAGTTTAATAGCGAACGGGCTTGAAGTTTTTATAAGCCGTATTCGTTTGCGTTAATGCAAACACGTGAATGTCGGTGAACTCTTTCTTTCTTTCTTTTTTCTTTTTTTTTCTTTCTTTCTTTCTTTCTTTCCTTCTTTTTTCCTTTCTTTCTTTTATGCGTGTGTATGTATCCCTCACGGATTTAAGCGCGACATCAGTCTTTTTTTGTAAGGTTACATCGGAACCCATCTCGTCTCTGAAAATAGCCCCGCCGCGGTGGTCTAGTGGCTAAGGTACTTGGCTGCTGACCCGCAGGTCGCGGGAACGAATCCCGGTGGCGGCGACTGCATGTCCGATAAAGGCGGTAATGTTGTAAGCCCGTGGGCTCAGATTTGGGTGCAAGTTAAAGAACCCCAGGTGGTCGAAATTTCCGGAACCCTCCACTATACGGCGTCTCTTATAATCAAATTGTGGTTTTGGGACGTTAAACCCCACAAATCGATCAATCGTCCCCAAAAATGATCTTAGTTCTGCTATGCACGTTCAAGTTGAATTACACCGGTATCAATCAAATTAAAGACGTCGAAAACGATACTATGTACACTTGGCCCTAAATGGTCTCCTTTCAATGCGTGTGCATATATACTCTACATCCCAGTAGCATAGCTACGGCTCAAGGCACAGCCAGATCAAACACACCCAAAGCAGTTATCCGGGCCATGTGATTACTTTTGTCCCGGAAGCGGTAAGAAAAGTGGGAGCAGAGAGAAGAAAGAAACAACGTACTGAGCATGCAAGAAACCCCGGTGTGTATCGATATCGAGCGGGTGGTGTGCACAGTGACTTGTGAACGCAGTGTGACGTAGGCCCAAGTGCGACCACCTGATGAAAGGAAAAGATCCAAGACACGTGGAGACAGCAATTATCGACGTCCTTACAGCGTTCTGCAATTTGCTGTTGGTTCACTGCACGTAAACGACGATGGGTGAATTGACATCTAACATTTCGGCTGCATCTACGACGATAAACACTTCAAACTGCGTCGGCTCTAATTGATTGATATGTGGGGTTTAACGTGCCAAAACCACCACATGATTATGAGAGATTTATTTGTGGAGTTTAACGTCCCAAAACCACTATTTGATTATGAGAGACGCCGTAGTGGAGGGCTCCAGAAATTTTGACCACCTGGGCTTCTTTAACGTGCACCCAAATCTAAGTACACGGGCCTACAACATTTCCGCCTCCATCGGAAATACAGCCGCCACAGCCGGGATTTGATCCCGCGACCTGCGGGTCAGCAGCCGAGTACCTTAGCCACTAGACCACCATGGCGGGGCCATGATTATGAGAGACGCAGTAGTGGAGGGCTCCAGAAATTTCGACCACCTGGGGTTGTTTATTGCGTCGGCTATATAGTGCGGTACACAGCAGTGGTGAATTGTCATGATAATGTCCATCGCAGTGGGGTTGCCTTGCTGATGCTGGTCGACGGAAACTTCATAAACTTTAAAATCAAACTAAGATAAGTTGCACGTTTTTCCTGGCTTCAGAGCGTAGCAAAGCCTTATCCCTACATGGCAATAAAAGAAGCAAATAACCCTTTTGCTTTGCCTCGAAAATTGCATTAGTGCTTTTTCTCTCTCTCTTTCTCTTCTCTTTCCTCTCTCTTTCTCATCTTTATGCCCCCTTCCTATTCCCCCAGCGTAGGGTAGCAAACCGGGCATGTGCCTGGTTAACCTCCCTGCCTTCCCTCTTGTTGTTTATCCCCCCTCTCTTTATCAACAACTACAGTCGGCCACAAGCCGGCATTAGCTTAGCAACAACGACAGCAACAGCAAAAAGGACGATGGTAACAATCCAGCAATCCAGCATTGCCCAACGACAGCAGCAGCAAACACTACACGACGACAAACCAGAATCAGGCAACATCTTTCCATGCTGGTATTAAGCGAGAAAGTTCTGGCGTTCACACGCAGGCGATGCACTTTTTATCGTTAAGTATAACGAATTTCGTAGTTTACGTTTCACTTAGACCCAGGTTCACTTCATGAGCCCAACTTTTGATCACTAACACTTTTCGTCTCACTATAGTTCACCTCAGAAAACACGCTTCTGTAGAATACTGGATATCAAATTACTTGTTAGGCTTACTACCCTATAGAGCTATTCGTACAAAAGCTAACAAAAGCGTTCACCCAGGCATGTGTGGCGATGAGGAGCTTAACGCGAAACCCCGGTAACGTATTCCACGAGCCGCAGCAAAAGTTGTGTGGACTGCTATGTACCGCCTATTTCGCGACTCGGTTGGTCTATATGCAAACTAAGGATTGGTACATGGTTCTGTTATTTAGTTTCTTTTGTGAGGAGAACGTGAAACTAGCTCTTGGTTGGAGGTGTTCGTTAATTTAAATATTTGTTCGCTTACTTTGCTGCTGATCCTGAGTGATATGGTTTGGTTTGGTTCCCCACCGCTATGGTACATACTTATTATAGAGGATTTGTATGGATGGCTGCACCGGCGTTTGAAGATTCGTTTTCGTTGCTTTTTTTTCAAGTGGTCCAATGCAAACGTGTTTTCACTAATTAGGGCTGCAGTGTTTAAACAAGTCTGCGACGCTAAT